TTTAAGATTCAGTCATATGTAATTTGTATCTCACAATCACAACTCCTTGTGATTAACAAATCACCAAGACTTGAATCTACGGATTCTATTATTTAATTTATTAGAATATTAATTCAATTAAATAATAAATATTGCCATATATATGCATTGATTATATATATTCAAAGTGTTTATGTCCAAAACTGATTGGACCTAGGGCATAACACTTACAATTCCTAGCGCTGGCTTCTGCAAAGTAAAAATTTTAGGTTCTGATGATACAGACATTGTTGGGGAAATAGAGAAAGAAATGACGTAATTAAATTTGGACTGAAATGCTTTTCCGGGTTTCGCTCCCATTACTTGGAATTATAATTTTTAGAATATTATTTTTTTAAAGAACGTATGGTTAAAAAAGAAGAAAAAATTTTGAATTTAAATTTAATATTATTTTATTGAAAAATGAGTGATTTATAAGAGGAGAGAAATTAATTATAATTTTAATGAGAATATTAACAAATAAGAGTATACAAAAATTTAGGAACTGTACTGGAATTTTAAGGTAACGTCTAGTCATGTGATTGTTTGCCTTCTATAAAAAATGAGAATAATAGAACGGTGCAAATACGATAAAATCTGTGTTTCAAAAGATTAAATTTAGATTTTGAGAAAGCATACCAAGCTGAAGTGCATCTACTCGTACGTAAAATTCCTGACCCACCTTAGCATATTGTTTAGAGCCTGTTTGGGCTGAATTAAAATCTGATTTTAATCTAAGTCAAAGTCAAACAATCAATATTAACTATATCTTTTCAACCACACATTTGAAAAACTTCTATCACAATCTACTAAAAATCTAATTTTAATTCCCACCAAACACCCTCTTAATATCATTTAATTCTCCATACCATGCAAAGCAACCCCGTTGACGAACCTCACCAGCACTAGCAAACCCAGTGCAGCTGCAGCTCTTCAAGTACTCCATTTCACACTCTTGTGGACTCACATTTGAGAGCAATTTAGCGTTCTTGGCATCAGGAAGCTTCAGGTTTGGTAATATTATAAACCCCTCACCTTTGCTCTTCCCACAACTATAGCTTTTCCTCTTCTCCACACATTTACTTAACCAATATCCAGGGTTCTCTGGCTCAAATCCTGGCAAGCTGGAGCATATCGCCATAGCTCTGGAGTTACATGTTACCATGTAGCAGATGGACCACAACGTGAAAATGTATCGCAATGGTCTGCCGGAATTAAGAAAATTGTTGCTTTCATGAATCCATATTAGTGCCTGCAGGTTCCCAAGGGTTCCAGGACAAGTCTTGCCAGAATGGAAGCATTTGACACTGGGAACATTAAGAAAAGCTACCGGGAAAAAAATGAAGCTAATTCTATTAAATACACTGGCTTGTATAAAAATTTAAGCTATTAGGAATAAAATAAACTTATCTATTTATATTCATATCTTTGCTTATTAGCATAAAATGTCCTTACGTTTGGTTTTTAATGTGCAAAACGTTCGTACGCCTCAAATTTTTGCATTGGGTAAATAGCACAAAACATCCCTACCTTTCAATGTCATTGTGTAAAACGTCTCTACCTTTTATTTTTTGGCGTTTTCACCCCATACCTTCCACCTTTCATTGCGCAAAAGGTCATTTTCAACCATTTTTTCAATAAAAGATGATTTTACCCTCATATTCAAATAAAATAAAAAGAAAAAGATGAATAATCAACTGCAACTATAGTCCTTAAGTTTTTAAAAAATTACAAAGAAATAAATTCTCCACCACCACCCCTTTCACAACCTACCAAGTTGCCACCTATAGATCCACATAGCACCATCTTTTGGCCACCACGCCCACCTGACTCCACCACCACCAACCTCGCCTAGCTCCCTACTGTCCTTCCCTCACACGAATTTGAAGATTGGAGCACTAGGACCCACCAATTTTGGTGAGACAGCTCTCTCCGTGTATCGCACTTGTGGAGAGTTTTGGACCAGAAATTGAAACGGTTGAGGGGGATAATTGGTTCGATTAGTTTCATACCCATTGTCCTCTGGGTTTGTTGATGGTTCGATTGATGCCAATTTGAGAATTTAGTGTTGTGGGATGCAAGAATTGATGGAGAAGAGTTTGGGAAAATAGACGTCGCCATTGTCGAATGTCTAGATTACACAAGAATGATTTGAGGTAGGTTTGATTAATGTGAAGCCATGTATAGGTTCGTCGAGGTGAGGGGTAACCGTCAGTGGTGGTGCGCAACCGTGGGTAGCGTTGAAAGTGGGGTTGCCGTGAAGGGTTGTATATGACAATTTGGTATTTTAGGATGCAAATGTGGCTGTTTTCGACAGATTTTGTGACCAATACTGTGGGAGAGGATGTTGGGGAGAGTGAAGCGAGGCTAGTGGTGGTAGAGTCCGACAGGCGTGATAATCAGAAGGTGGTACTATGTGGATCTATAGGTGACGGCTTGGTGGGGTTGTAAAAGTGGTGGTAGTGGAGAATTTATGACTTATCTGTAATATTTTAAAAAAATTAGAACTATAATTGCAATTAATTGTTTTTTTTTTCTTTTTGTTTCATTTGAATAGATGGGTAAAATCGTCATTTTAATGAAAAAATAGTTGAAAATGACCTTTTGCGCAATGAAATGTAGAAGGTAGGGGTGAAAATGCCAAAAAATGAAATGTAGGAACGTTATGTGCTATTTACTATTTTGCATTTTAACACCTATTTCCATGTTTCATAGTGGAAAAAGTCATTTTCATCAATTTTTATCTAAGTTTTCCATTAAAATTTGTAAAATAACAAATATACCCTCTTATATAAATAAAATAAAATGAAAACAAAAATAAAGAATAAATTGTAATCATACTCCCAATTCTTTTAAAAAAGTACAACAAATCTAAATAAATTAAATTAAAAATCAAAAAAGAAAAGAAAAATAATTTTCTTCTTTCCCCCTCTCCCACCCCTACCCCTACCTCTAGCCCTCACCATCACTACAAAACGAAACTAGAAAATAGAATCCCCATAGGCACTAATACCAAGAAAGCTATCGGCTGCCACCAAACCCACAGCCACCAACACTCCCGCCACCATTTCCTTCTCCAAAATTCCTCCCATTTTATTTCAACAAACAAGAAAAACATTTTTGATTATTTGTACCTAGTGTAACGGTATTGAGCCTCCCGTGCAGGAAAATTGTTTGGTTGAGTCCAAAGATGGGTTCGATAATGGGTAACTAGAGGTACGATAGAGCCTGAAAATGGGAAAAGGAAGATCGTGAAGAAGACAGTGAGGGTGGTGAAGAAAATAATTAAAAGGAAAGTTCCCAAGAGGGTTTTGATTGAGAGTTCAGATAACTAGGGATCAGTCAAGAAATTGGAGAATAGGTTGAATTTGAGTGAGGTAACAAAATAATTAAATCAGATAGATGTGTTAATGGAAAATTATATCTTGTGAAATATATGATGGAAAATGGGGTAATAGACAATTCTAATATTGTTAATGAGGTGAAGGAAAAAATTGAACTCAAGGAATGAAGTTACAGAAAAACTGAATCTTGAAACAGGTACAAGTGTTACAGTACCAATGGAGTTGGAAAGGTAATGATATAAGTGGCTTTGATTCTAGGGAAACCGACTAGTTGAAGATAAATGATGTTATTTTTCTCGAATTAGAAAGAAGGGACACGAATGCTATTGTTTATGATCTAATGGAAGTAAAAAATGATGGTTCTGCTGAGGAAGTTACCATGGACTAAAGCAACAAAGGGGGCGGACGGTACTGTAGTTGATCAATTCTTGTTTGTTTCTGAGAAGAATTGTGGCGAGGGTGAAGGGTAGTGGTGGGAAATGCTAGCACGCGTGTGGGGGGGGGGGGAGGGTTTATTTTTGCTTTTTTGAAAAATTTGGGAGTATGATTACAATTTTTTTTCCTTTTGTTTTATTTAAATACGAGGGTATATTTGTTATTTTGCAATTTTAATTGAGAAATTGGATAAAAATTGATGAAAATGACGTTTTCCACAATGAATTGTGAAAATGCAAAATTGAAGCGTGGGGACGTTTTGCACACTAAAGGTCAAATGTAGAGATATTTTGTGCTAATAAGTCTTATATCTTCGAAAAATCCCCATCATGTGCACATAATATAATTTTTATAAAAGGTCTAGTTAGATATATCATGGCTTTTGTCTGCTACGATCAGCTGATAATTACATGCCTTGTTACATAAAAGAAGATGGAACTAGATTAACCCTTTTCCAAGCCTACTTTTTCATTGACTGAAATAGAACCTGCATAATCTTCTTAAGGATTTTCGTCTTAATTTTAAGAATAGATGAACTTTTCATCTTTATATTTGATTTGTACATGGATGATATTATTAATACTTTAGCTACCAAATAATTATTGAAGTTGTTGAAGCCAAAGAATTTACCTCCAATGTGGCCAACAGATCAAATGCCTCTCACGTCCACGCAAACCTAGTTCCTGTACATTTGGACAAATTGCTAGTCACACATGACATTTTCCAGTGGGAGTGAGTTGGTCGTGCGCACTCAAATGGTCAAGTCAGTTGGAAAAGTGATTATATGGGAGTGTGAGAACTATAGACATGAGTTTCCAATATAAAAAAGGGGCGTCGACTTTGGGGAATAATAGATAAAACAATGATATGGACAAATTATAGCTTGAGAGCCTAAACTTGCATTACCTTCAAATGGCACTAAGTTTGAGCCTTTATAGTAAAAAAAGATGAATGAGAGTCTTTGGATGAAGAGGCACGTGGCCTCATCCATGCGGCTGATGCCTCTTGTCTTAGACATCAATCAATCAATCATAAGCCTTAAATCTTGATGCCACTTTAGCATCTATAATTCCTAGCTTGTGGCTTAATAGAAATGATGGCTGTGGCGGTGAATTGTCACATCAATTACATATCAAAAGGCTGCCTGGATGATCTTGTTGAGCTTCTTTTGTAGCCTCGCCTCTATTAGCGGTTCGACTCTTATGAGTCAGTACAATTAAATGGGGTCGCCAAATATGTTGGCTCAGTCGCCAAAACGGGTTCAGCCAGATCAGCCTTATAATATGGTGCGAGGGCCCTACACTTGCTTGCCAAGTAGGATATTTCGGGCCTTGTGAAGAAAAGTGTAACAATAGTCCCTAAAGTCCACGCATGATTATTTCTATAATGCATGGATTTTGAGTTTTTGCAAAGAAAAAGAAAAAGGTGAGCATAATAATATAGTCCCTGAAGTTTATGGATGATTATTCATATAATGCATGGACTTCTAAGTTGGTGGAGTAACGTGTGACTAGTGGATGCAAATGGAACCAACCGTTAGGTGAATGAAGAGAGTGATGCCCTTGCTAAAGAAGGCGAGCCTGTTGAATTAACTAAAGCGAGTAGTAGGGCTGAATGAGGCTAAGGCGAGGCCCTTACTACAGATGGTACCTTAGTGAAGCAACTGAAGCCTATAATAAGGTTGAATGAGGCGAAGGCAATGCCTTTTCTAAAGAGGGTGAGCCTATTGAAGTGAATAAAGCCTGTAATGAGGCTGAATTAGGTAAAGGCGAGACCTTTGCTAAAGAGGGCGAGCTTATTCAAACGACTAAGGCCTGTTGGGGTGCGTGCCGTAATGATTTGAAAGCATTGCCTATTTCCAAGGTGCAATAGTAGTGTGGTATGGAGGTTTTCCATACCCGTATTTTGTGCACATTTACTGCACAATGATGTTGATTTGTTACACAGCAAGAATCCCCCTAACCCTAAATGCGTACATAGCATGAAGCCATCTGAGTCATTAATTAAAATTTTGGTAGGCACCTTTTGGTTTTAACGTGCTTGATGGAAGTAAAGGTATAAGTTTGGGATTTCATTAGGGCTAATCCAAAATGGAGAAGATTTACTCTGTATGCATATAGAAAAGGCGGACTTTACCATTTTCTCTCTTTTCACTCTGTTAAAATTCTAAATGCCTGAAAAGTGTCCTAAGAATTCCCTGAGATCCCTAGCCATCATCATCAAATTTTCGATGACCGCCTGTGTTTTTAGGCCTTTAGCGGGTTTGTAATTTGATTAAGTAACATAATCTCGTCCCATTTCAAGTTAGTTGCATCGAATGGCTTCATCTTCAAAGAAAAACACCAAAAGGGGTTCTACTGAGAGAGTGAATATAGGTTGGTTTGCCTCCATTAATTCCAACTGAGAGGATTATGGAGGCAATGGAGAGTCCACGAAGTGCATGTATGATGAAAAAGAGCCCTATAGATTATAGTGTAAAGAGAGGGTTTCCTTGTGGCCAATGTGTGTCGAGGATAGTGAGTTGGAGACCTTGAAGGAGCAATATAGGATCCCTGACACCATTAAAATGTTTGTTCCCATACCCTGATGAGTGAGCTTGTTTTCCTACGGAAGGTGTGTTGCAATGAGCGAAGAGATTTTGAGTGGAGGGATTAAACTGTCCCTACACATACTCTTCATATATATACTTAGGCGATAAATTTAGATTCCACCCACCTAGTTCTAAATGTATGGAGCCAATTGGCAATGGCTTTTCTTCTTTGAAAGGAGGTCATTCTTAGTGAGAATATGCCTCCCCACGTCTTTCAAACAATTTTTCAGCTGCGAACCTCGAGTGAGAGAGATGATTGTAAGGGGTGGTATTGTATGAACCCTTGGGGTCCGTATTCACCCTTCATTTAGGATACTTCAACCACGATAAAGAACTACAAGTCATCTTGGTTCTGAGTTAGGAGTCGCTAGCAGATAGTGGATGAGGATGTGGTCCAAGAAACAACCCTACTGACCCGATATCATGAGTATAGTGAGTCTAACCTTAGTTAAGATCTTTTGTTTATTGTTCTCTGCTTGTTTGCATCGCTGAATTGGGTATTTATTAGCTGTAATTAACCGACCCGAGGTCGAACCTTTTTAGTGGGCTATCGTTAGAGCCATTCACGTGCTACCTTAAGAGAAGAGATACTTCAAGAACGTGCTTGAAAAGCAAGCCTTGCTTATAACACATTTATTAATGGAGACCAAGAGTAAGTAAATGCTGTGCTATAGCTTTTGGTAATTTTACTTGGATTTTTTATAGTGGTAACAATGTCTATTTCCCTTCAAAACATGAGAGGAAGGAGTATGCGAAACCCGATATGTTTTTCACGAGCGCTTGGGAAAGGTGAAGAAGAAGAAATTGCTGAGCACGAGCTCCTCTACTTACAAAAATTAGAGGGATGAGTTGTATCGTTTGTCCAAGATGAATCCACCCTCTCTCCTAGAAAAGATGGGAAAAAAGGGAAAAAAAAAAGGTCGAGCCTTCTATTGAGAGGACCTAGAAGAGAAAATTGGTTTTGACAAAGAACACCGAACCTCCTCCTCTCCCAAGCACCAAACAACCATTGGTGGGTCGCCAAAATGGCCCATAAAAGTATAACACTTTTCCTCTATAAAAGTAACATACGTGCATGAGGCTGTTGAGGAGAATGTGAGCCTCGTAAAAAGGAGGAGAGGCAAGTAGACTAGTAGAAGTGGACCTTTTGAAGGGAAAGCCCAGGATTTCTTGGGGGGTAGGTCTGACGAGATCGCCCTTCTGTGTTGGAGATATTTCTGCTAAGGTCCAGAAGGCTACATGAGTTCATCATGAGTACTGTGGTACGGTATAGTTAGGCCAAAGGCTAAGGTATCTTCTACCGTTGAGGCCATTAAAGCTTTCAAGGTTAAGCAAGTTGAAGCAGAGTCTAGGGTGAAGGTACTTTCCAAACAAAACAATGAACTAAAGATAGAAGTCCACATCTGTAGAGCTTAAGTAAATTCTTTGACGAAACGGGTAAAAAATTCAGATAACCCGTAGCAGATTGTTTCATCTGTCTTGGAGGCTGCCAATAAGGATAAAGGAGAATTGAAGGCTCGAGTTGATGAGCTGACTACTGAGGTTGACAATTTAAGGCAGCAACTGAGTGGGGGCAGGGGAGCCAGCTATGAATAGTTATGTAACCCATTTCCATAGCACGACTGAGCATGACGGCCTAGGTTTATACTGGAGGAAGGTTGCATACAATGAAGTCTTTGGGAGGCTTGATGAGCTGCAT